CTTGAGTCTCTTCCTAGATACCCCATCAAAACAGAAAAGGGTCATCAGAAGGCCATTTCCCCCGTTTGCCTAATCTCCTCGCTCTGGCAGCCTTTGAAGATAATGTAGTTATGAGGCATGGCAGGTCCGGCTGGGAGAATGATGTGATGGAACGGTGGCAAGGGAAAATGGCTCCTACAAGATGGGAATCTGGATAGACTGAAGATGGGAGAGCGGATGCAGGAGCAGGTGGGAGGAGGCGGAAAACAAATGAAAGATGCTGAAAGGGAAATGGATGTGATCACCCGGAGCACATCTTAGAATCCATGTACAGGAGCCACCTGGAAGCTAGAGTTTGGGTGTGCGCTGTGGCTCACGCCCACATCTGTTAGACTCGGGCAAGTTACTTAGCCTTACATTTCAGTTCTTCATCCCTGAAATGAGAATAGGGTATGGGGAGAAGTAAATGAGATAACAGGGGTATAGCATTTAGAATAATGCCTGCTACAGAGCAGGGCTCAAAATAAAGTTAGTTTTACCATTCTTATACACTCATGATAAAAATATAATTTCTATGCTAATTTCTAAAATCACAGAAAGAGGCTTAAATACTACTGACTGACTGGTGGAGCATTTCTATCTGTTATTACAAGATTTGTAAACTAAAAATATCATTCACAGCACATTGTTCAAAGTAATTTTTTTATGGTAGCACCACATTAGCTCTTAGAATTGACTTTCTTTTCTTTGCTATTTGTACATTTCTGGCTTCAACATCCGCTTGCTATGTTCCACTTCTGACACATACGAGTGTGATATATATATATATTTTTTGGTACCGGGGATCAAGCTCGGGTCCTTGCGCTTGTGCAGCAGGCGGTGAAACCACTGAGCTAAATCCCTGGCCCATGAGTGTGATATATTAGGAGACAACTGTGTCCCCTTTAAGTGTAACATATTAATCTTATTAAAAATCATAACAAAAAGCAATGTAGATATGTATGAGCTATTAAATTATTAAAATATTATCACCTACAGGAAAAGGTGTTAGATTTAGCAGGAATTATTAAAATGTATAGACTGATTCTAAATTTATTTTGTTTTTCCTTTATAGTATCCTTCAGGTATAGGCCCATTATTTTTCAAATGTAACCTTTAGTTATTAATTCACTGGCTGATCTAAATTTCCACTAGTTCTTTTTTTATTCATCCACCCTCCTTGAGCAGGCTAATGGGCAATGAAATGCTTAAAATATGTAAAGGGAAGAGAAAAATAGAAGAAAAGACCTCCAGAAGTGAATGAACAAATGAACCCGGAATAAATGGGAGCTGACTATAGTGTTATATGTTATTTTCTATGGATGGTAAGTGGGTTTTAGAAATACTTAAAACCTGGAGAGACTCTAAAAATAAAAATGTATAATTGAGGTCTACATTTGCTCCATAGTTAGTTCAGTTTTTCCTCCCATTAAAAAAAAAAACAAAACTTCCATTTTTCCAAGGCCCAATATCAAGTTAAATCAGAGGTAAAGACTGGACTATTAGATTACAGGAGGAGTCAGGAGCCACCATCTCCAGTCAGTGGGCAGCCAGCAAAGCCACCTGAACAGAGCTGCTATTAGCCCTGTCCTTACTGGGGGAGCTGAGACTCAATGGAAATGGGCACCAGCCAGGGAAAAGCAATTGCTTTCTATCAAACAGGACTCCACTTGTTGGAAATCATCTAGAAGGCACGGTGACAGGAGACCTTTCCAATTTGTGACCTGGTAAAGAATGGGACAGCTGTTTTTCATGTCTGACCTCTGAGGCATCTAGGCAGACACTGAAGAAACTGTGATGAATAGTGTCAGCTCTAGCAAGTCTTTGAAATTCTCCTTCCCCCTGGTCAAACAGTACAATTGCCTTGAATTCATTTTTCATGCTTGATATCCAGATTCTATGAATTTTATATTTAAATGTGCTTAGTCAACTGTAAGGACCTCACAGCAAGGAGTTCAGTGCTGTTTGAAGGCCACGTTAGAGGAATACGGACCCACTGTTCTGTATCACGGATGTGTTTCTGGTACAGCCTGGTGACACGGACGCTCCTGAGCCTACCTGGGATGCTGTGATTTGGCGAGCAAAAGGCCTTTTAGAGCGGAACCGTGTGCTCTTCCCCATCTCCTATGTTGAAACCTTGATCTCTATGTGGACTGCATTTGGAGACAGGTATTGAAAAAGGCAGTGAAGGTAAAATGAGGTTATGAGGATGGACCTCCAGTCTGGCATAGTTAGTATTCTTACTAAGAAGAGGAGATTTGTACACAGATAGGTAGAGAAGAAAAGACTACTCAAAGACACAGGGGGATGGCTGCCTACAAGTGAGAAGAAAGCTTTCTCCGGTTCACCCCTGCTACCACATTGACCTTGGACTTCCAGCCTCCAGACCATGAGAAAATGAATTTCTTTCACTTAACCCTCCCTGCCTGTGGGAACACAAGCGAAGCTATACAAGCTGTATTTATAGAAGAAGCTCCTTCCTGCCCCACCTGGGAGAAGTTTGGTGAACATCAGTTAGTTCAAAGGCTCCTAGGACAGTGTGAGGAGAAAAGGCACTGTGTGAAAAGAGGGGCAACTTATTTTTTTTTTAATCTTCTTTTGCTGTATTATTACAAAAGCTTTATATATTCACTGTAGAAATATTATGAAGTACAGACCAGGCACCTGGAGGTGACCCCTCCTGCATTCTGGGAGACTGAGGCAGGAGGATCTCAAGTTTGAGTCTCACCTGGGCAACTTAGGGAGACTGGCTCAAGAAAGAAAGAAAGAAGGAAGGAAAGAAAGAGTGAGCTAGAGATATGTTTCACTGAGAAGACCCTGGGTTCAATCCAGTACTGCAAAACCAAGCCAATCCGCCCCCCCCCCCAGATGAAGAAAATGAAGAAACAATATAGCTGCATCTCACCACTTGGAAATAATCATTCATATATTGTGTCTTTGCAGACTTTTTCCTACAAACATACAAATCTATAAACACAGTGCATGCATAAATATAGGAGTAAAATGAAGCAGTTTATTTTTTGTGGTCCTCTGTCCGTGTCAGTAATTTCTCACTTATGGAGTCATTCCCAACGTCCAGAGTTGTTTCATTACATGGGTGGTATTCTAGGAAGGGAGCGGCGTGCGGGGTGTGCGGAGGCGCGGGCGCTAGTAAAGATGTAGGGGTTTGCTGTACTACTGTCAAGGCCGCGCCTGCTTCCATCCCTCGGAGCCCTGTTACCAGCAGCTCTACACTCAGCTGGCCTGGTTCAGGGGCTGCAGGTGGCTTGATGGGGAGAGCAGCAGGGACAGAGGAGGCGTCTCCCACCTTGGCGGGGGCCACAGGTGGAGCCAGGTGGGGCGGGGCGGGGCCGGCCTGTCCTGCAGGCCTGGAGGACTGAGCACCGCTGGGGAGAAGGAGGAAGGGTGAAGGGGCCCCATGCTCTGGGGTGGAGGATTTATCCCCAGGGGCTCAAGCAGGCGGCCACCGGGGCTGGGCTCCAGGGATCCCATGAGGGAGCCTGAGGTCGCCACGGTTATGACCACTCCTTGTTAATTTTATCCCTCAAGCTTTCAGGGCCTGGGAAAATACAGGTTCTTCTAGGGAACTAGAACAGCAGGACTGATAGCCTTTGCGGTTTTTCTGCGATAATGGAAGATGCTATTTGAGTTTGGTTCCTTGCCCAGTAGAAGAGATCTCAGGGGCATAGTTAAAGGGAAAGCCAAGTTGATCTTGAAATGAAAAAGAAAATGTCTGATTTTATAAACATGAAAATTATGTGGCACTCGATAAAGTGTGTTAGCAAGTAAATTTCTGGTACATAATAAAGGAATAGGTTAATATCTCTTGGAGAAGAAACGTCTTCCACTTATTGGAAGACTGCAGAAGAACTTTCCTTCTCTTTTCTTTCTTTGTATTTGTTTTGTTTTGTTGTTGTTTTTATGAGATAAGGTGTGGCTATGTAGTTCAGGCTGGTCTTGAACTCACAGCAATCCCCTGCCTCAGCCTCCCCAGTGCTGGGATTACAGACATGTGCCACCATGCCTGGCGAGAACATTCAACAGGGATCTGTCTAAGGAAGATCAGCAGCGGCCTCTGATTTGGGGGCAGATGGAGCACGTGGAAGGGGAAGAGCACCTTCCTTATTGAAGGGAAGGGTGCTGTTGCCCTCTGACTGTCTCGGAGAGTATATGCTGGTCAGACATAACATTCAAATCAGAAAAACTATTGGACTGAGTTTGAATAAACATATTGTAGATAAGAGTGAAGAATTTACAAAATTTGTATTTGGTTTCATATATATATCCCCCCAAAAATGTATACACACTTCAGGAAAAGAAAAATAATATGATGTGTTTTCAACGGATGATGGATGATGTCATCCTCATATGGGGGACTCTAGAGGATGTTGTACGTCACAGAAAACCCACTGCACTACCAGTCCTTAGAGAAGAAGTTGAGAATGCCCGTGCTGCAATCTCAGTGCCCAAGGTGACCCAAGCAGCAGCTCACCGTACTAATAAATGTCTGGAAGCTCATGGCCACCACTCTGAGCACCTCTTGCAATTGCAGAGGCCAAATGTAACTTGTATTGATCTCATGCTGTCTCCATAAATTTCTTATTAAGATATGTATACAAGTTTTTATTTTCCTGAAGTGTGTGTGCCTATTTTTGGCGGACTCTGTTCTAGGTACACTTGCATATGTGTGGTGCTGGGGATGGAGCTCAGGGTCTCCTTCATGCTCAGCACTGGTGCTACGATGCATTCTTAGCCCCTGGCTTCTTTGAATTGATTTAGCAACCAAAGTTACATCCAAAAGTTAACATGTTTCTGTACATTTGCCCAAGGCAATGAATAAATTTCCAATAAAACCCAAACAATTTTGTCTCCCGGATTGTTTTCTTCTGTCATCACGTAGTACCATGGAGAATTAATCCCTTCATAGCCTAACCCACTCTAGCCTATCCAATCAAAAATGGTTATGGAAAAACAAGGCTTACCGTCTATCACTGGCTTAGGCTGAGAACTTTTGAGGCGCAGTGAGGGCCGGAAGCGGGTGCGGTCGTTGAAGCTCCAGCTCTTCTGCACTTTGGTGGGGCTGCCTTCAGCTGTGATGTCAGTGCTTGGGGACCTCCTGTCACCTACGGAGGCTTGTCTGCTCTTAATACTCTGGCCCCTTGGGCTGGCCATGCGCACCCGCTCCTTAAAACTTAGCTTCTGACTGTGGAAAACAGAGGCATGATTATTCCATTTCAAGCATTTTCTTCCAATTCACTTGAATACACAATTTGATGAAATTGTATATGGTCATGTATTTCAATAGATGAAATGTTTTCAACAAGTAGGAGCATAGAAACGTATTTTTCCCATATTGAAAGGTTGAGCTCTATTTAATCTTTATGTTTGCATGCATTTGACATCTGTCTAATTCTGCAGGGATACACACCCTTCATGGACTCATCACAGGAAGGAGGTATAGCAGTCTGTACACAATTACATGGGAGATAGACTGATTTGGAATTCACTTTAAAGAGTGCTGGGTAATTTTAGCTTTAGCCTCAACTTTTAACACTAAAGAATGTTATTTTTTGTTTGGGAGCATATCTCTTCGTAATTTCGAAACAGCTCTACAGGAAAACAGCGATGACAGTTACATATATACAGACATTCAGCATGCATTTTATATTCCAGGCAAGATTATGATATCCATAAATTCATGCAATCTTATAGCACTGCATACATACGGAACATATGACACTTAATACGACATTTCTTTTATGCTTACATTCATTCTTATGAAACAGAACCCACACAAGGTAGAATAGCCTCAACATATAATGAATGTGATGAGTGATTAATGCAGTGAGATGTAATTAATGTTCACTAACACAATTTCCTGCTGTTAAACAGGTTATTGATTTGCTGTGGCAGCTACTGGTAAATTATATTTGTTCAAGCCTTCAGTTCTCCGGTGCTGGGCAGGATTGAACTGTTGTGGGAGGCTGGAGGGAACATTTACAATAGCACAATCCAGCATGCATCTTCACACTTTCCTAACCCAGAGATGTGGTGTGCTGTGGGGAAAGGGCAGGTCCGCATCTCTAGCTTGGAGATACAAGTATCCATGAACCAGAGGAAGCTCTGCATACCCATTTTGTTTGGTTTCTTATTTCATTTGTAAAAGACTCATGCTATTCATAAGAAGGCCACACACTGTTATCAATGTGTGAGGCCCTGGGCTCAGCAGGGACTGAAGAAATAATCGGGCAAGGGGCTTGAGGGGGAGTGGCATGGAGCAGCCTTTGTGAGGATGAAGGCAGCGTTCTCACGGATCAGAATCCCTTGAGAGGAAGTGGAGACCTTGTTTCCCGACTTACCGCTGTGTCCACCATCCCCAGCTGCAGCATGCCAACAGCAAATGTGTTTAGTGCTTATGTTCCATAGCTAAGAAGAATAGTAATGCTAATCTTTCCATGCCTATTTGCTTAACAAACCATATTCTAAAAGGCGATGTGTTGTATGTGTGTTTACATGAAAACAAACCAAACCATGGATGATGGTGGTCAGAGAGTTCTGGTCACAGAAAACAAATTGACCATGCAACTGCCAGCTCCCTCTGCGATGCAGACACAGCCAAGTCCAGGACCAGCTGAAGGCGCATGCACAGAACAGGCAGGCAGTTTTGTGATGAGGTCAGGTGAGCTAAGTTCTTTACAACACTGCTGTCAGCTGAAGGGCTTATCTGCACTTGACAAATGCATGATTAAACAGTTGATTACATTACACAAGAGCAACAGTAACATCATAAAACTGCATCTTTTTATTCTCAGGCTAGGTTCTCTACATCATCCAAAAGCCTTCAATTATTTAAACAAGTCTCTCAAAGGGATAGTGACCAGCTGTATCTGCTTTTCTTAATTTTTTTAATGGTAAAATTTTCAATGTTCTTTGAGGTTCTGGGAATTGAAGTCAAGGCCTTCACACTGAGCTGTATTCCCAGCTGTTTTTTAAAAAATTTAATTTAATTCAATTTTTAAAAAAATTTTGAGACAGTGTCTCTCTAAATTGTAGAGGCTGGGCTTGCACTGTGATGCTTCTGCCTCAGCCTAAATCTCCTTTTGACTTTAAAGTATCTGTTCTCTAATTTAAATTTACATTGACCTGTTTCAGGAAATATATGCTTTCTTCTGTGCCCTTATTTAGATTAACGAATGGTCAAGTAGACATAACTATCACTACAAATGCTCTCTCTATACTTGTTCTTACCTATTACCTTTTCTGGAACTAACAGACTAATTACTATAGTAAGGTCTTTCAAGATATCTCTTTTCTATACTAACTAAATAAACAAGAAACCGATAGGAAATCATAAAAATGTTATTTAATGGGAATTTTATTCTTTAAAAAATTTTTATTACTAAAAAAGTAAAAAGAATCTAAAACAAAATCAGCTTTAAACCCACCATTGTTTATTATAGTAACAAAATATTAAAAAATTGCTCCAGTAAAATATATCTAAAATGCCCCATGAAACATTTTGATATTATCTTTATGGAATAATGGAAAGTGGAAATAACATCTTTAGAATCTCAGTAGCGTTTAAAGCACTTAAAATCGACATAAATTCTAGGCACCGTTTCCCTTTTGTCCTTCTAAACTACATGAATGTTTGCTAATGTCTACTATTTAAAAAAAAAAATCTCAGGAACTATTTTGAAATACGCTCAACACATTACACATTAAATTGGAGAAAACATAATATTTTCACTCTCTCTGTAGACAGAATTGTATGCTAGGTAAGACTAATATCCTAACCCAGAACTTTTTAACTAGGCATTTTTTTTTTCCGAAGGCAAAGATCTGTTGTTACGTCCTCTCAGAAAAAAGTCACTTTTGTTAATTCTACTTCATTCCCCCCTTGGAATTAAGCTGATTAGGTGTATGTTATTGAAAACACACATTGATTAAAAATATAGACTCTTCATTGGTACATTAAGGTTTCGATTAGTTTCCTGGCCTTTTCTGACATTTATAAACATCATTTTTGAGGAAGATTTATGGAGCAGTGATTTTAGGGAGAATGCCAAGGATGATCCCCAGGAGACCCAAAAGGAGGTCTTTTCTTGGAGAAAGTAACCAAGAGGTCGCCGTGGTCCCTGACATCGGGCGCATCTCTAGGGGTTCACAATCCCACATTCCGGATGAGGCCCGCGCTCAGGGGAGCCAGCGGAACTGCTCTCAAGGGAACTCTTCCCTCTCCCAGGACCGGATGTCCAAGTTACTCAAATGGCCCAGCATGCAGTGGACTTCGGGAGGTTCCCTGCTAGGGAACTGTGAAGCCGCACAGCCCCACAACAATCCTCTAGGACTTGGAGTGCTGTGGTTACTGTTATACTTAATGAAGGGGTTAGCCCTTACTGGGTTAAGCATTCTGCCAATTCTTCGCTCAGGCGCACCATGGCACAGTCCAGTGCGTGCAGGAGCCCAGCAGTTGTCCCACCACAACGGGGCGCCAAGGGGCTGAGTGCCAGGGTTGTGCAGGACCCGGCCTACTCGCCCCGGTGGTGGGGAGGATCAAAGCAGGCAACAAGCAACAAGGAGAATTACAAGCGGGCTGGCTGAACACCTCATTCAAGAAGTCCCTGGGAAGAGTGAGTCTGTGAAGAGGGCTCAGGTGGGGTGGCGGTGTGGCCTGGTCATGCACCTGAGGTTAGTTGGCATTCTCAAATCTCATGGCAACAGCTGGGATGCTGGGTACCTCTGCTTCCGGGAGGTGTACATTCTGAAGAGCTTCTGCTTATTACTGCAGAGCTTACTAGAGTGAGGGAAATAGAGCAGCACATTACTAAGCATTTCACCACCCGGAAAGTGCTGAGGGGCTTCTTTCTTGCTTTTTCGAGAAACACAGCCTTTGGCTTTATTGTTTTTTTCTTTTTTGCAGATAAGTATACAGACTATTTAAGCAGTAAGAACTTTGTAGTTTAATTGTGCTGCTTGAAATATATTCAGTGCTCTTAATTGTTAGGTTGAAATAATTGGATTTGAAATAAGGCATTATAAATGATGATAGTCTATGTGTTAGCATCTATTTCCTATGAAAGTAAGAATGCAAATATTTTAAACATAGCAAGCCCTATAATAAATATCAATGTAACATAGTAAAAATGCTTGAGGAATAAAATATTTCAGAAATTTTAAGAAGAAATACAGAAATCAATGAAGTAGATAACATTGTTTTGAAATTTGAAACAGAAGTTCTTGATGTGTGTGAAACACCTGTAGTTATAGTCAAATAACCATCCCTCAGCTAGAATACCTGTTACAAAATGGAAGATTCCAGGTTGCTAGTATTTTTAAAAAGTATATTTCTTATTTGAACTTCTACAGTGTGTTTTTTAAAGACTAAATCCTTTCCTTCTATCCATAAATGTGAACAGAAGGAAGACCATTTTGAAAAGACTTTCTCAGCAATCTCACATTTTGACAACAAGGACATTAGTTGACTACGCTGGAGAGAAAGTTAAGTCCAGTCTTAACAGGTTTAGTTTAACAACACATGCACAGCATTCATCGTGTACAGAGGAAAGAAAATGTAAATAACAGAAAATAAATTCAGTAAAAATATAAGAACACACAATCTCTTCCCAGGGTGTTCCAGAGTTCTGTCACAAGAGCCACACCCTACCCAGGATCCTGTAAAGCAACCACCCTGCAGCTGTTTAGACAAAGCACTCAACAGATCACAGCACAAGGTTATAATGGAATGAAAGAGTATTACTTGAGCTTTAAGTTTTAATACATGCATCTTTGTAACAGACTCCTAGTTACCTGTTAAGGCAAGTTTAGACCATTTGCAGACTCTGAATCTCAGGTGGCTCTGTTAATGCTTAAGACACTACAGTAAGGCAGCGTAACTAGGAAGCAGGCATAAGGCCAGCCGTGTGGATTGAAAGGACAAGGTAAGCAGAGACTTTGAGACTCACAGATAATCCCCAAACCTCAGACGCTATGATCAGTCCTGGTAGCAATGAAAACTTAGGTAGGGAGAGGTAAAAGCCTTCTGATCGAATGTGATGACTCACTGACCACTACTTGCTGACCTGGTCAGGGAGGAAAACTTAGGACCTAAGGTGAGAATTCTAGACTAATGTTTCCAGTTGGGTTCACAAGCAAATTCCATTCTTTGAAAATGACAGTTTACACCACACAGAGAGAAACTGTCCAACTGAAGAAACGAATTAGAAAATTACTAATGGAATGATTAATTAGAATAAAATTACTAAACATATTTACTACCACATGTATGAGACTAGAGCTCTTTTAGTGGGAAGACAGAAAAAAAGAAATGAGCAAGAAAATGATGCTGAATACATTGTACTTATGGTCTCAGTAGAGGAAGAACAGAGCAGGCTCAGCTGAGACCAACAGTAATTTGTACCTGACCCTGTACCCCACAGCCAAAGAAAAACTCTTTTCACCGTTACTCAGTGGAACTATATTGAAAAAGCTCTTCTTGGAACTGATAGTTTGTACTTTCAAAGAAAAATTTCCTGATCTGTCACAAGCAATATGACATTATTTTCCAGCTTGAGACACTGTAGGTAAATTTTGTTTAAATGTACCCTAACTTCAGTGTAGAGAGAAATAACTTCTCTACATAACGAGCACATTCCAGGGAGGGCAACATAATTAACTACTGCAGGGATGTGTCTGACCGCCATACGCTGTGCAGAAAGGATGGGTGGCCGGATGCGGAGTCCTGGCTCACACTCTGTGACACAGCCGGTGCCCGTGAGAGGCTGTTGGTGGCTGTGTTGAATTTATCAGCTCATCCTAGACCACTTTCAGGTTTTAATATACAGAAAAATCACGAAGAAGGATTGAGGAGATTTTGGGCTCTGAGATAGCTGAAAGATCAAAAGTTTGGCTTCTCCGTGGGCTGAAACTTATCTGTTCAGCTGATCTGCAATCACATCAATAACCCAGGGCCCTGCTCCCACGGCAGTAAAGGACTCTGCGGCTGGGTGGTGCTAATTAGTTCATTTGAAATGAGGTCAAGCATTAATTAAGAATCTTCCAGACCCAGAGCTGCTCTCCTCCAAGGGAGAATTCTCATTATAAATACATTTTCCTTTGTGCATATTTTGCTTGGGTAAGGACACATTTGTAACTTTCTAAGATGACACTGTTGCTACTGTTATTATAATAGCCTTTCTGCATTCTTTGTGCAGCATTATGAATTCCATTGTTTATGGAGCGCAAGGTGGAATTTAAAGCGGTATTAAAATAGGAGCTTCAATGTGTACACTTTTGTGTCAATTAAGAAACAAATAAATGGAAGCCTCAGCTTATTTCCTTCAGATCATCACAGTGTTATTTTCATTTTCTCTTTATATTTCTGTTTCCTGTTTTTGTTTATGTTTTATCTCTTTTCATATAAACTAGCTGACATTAGGGATAGTTTGTTACTGTATCTAGGAATTGTTTACTCAGCCCATTCTGCCACAACTTCACATTGGTGATAGGAGACATAATTGAGGGATGGGATTCAAGGTATCTGGGCTAAGTAGTAGGACAGGATTTGTTTTAAGGTGGTGTTTGCCAAATGTCTATTAAGTGCAGAGCAGCAAGAAATGTCAGTGTGTGATTCTCTAAGTCATAAAGCCCATTCAGCATTTCTGTATGTACTCAGACCTGCAGGTGAGTTATCTTTGACAACCTCAGTTTCGAACATGCAGCATAGATTGATATGTGTTAAGATACACGTGAGCACCATGAAATTTAGAAAATCTGATGTGTAGTCTTTCTGTACTACGACAGCTGGCTAGGAGCCTCACTTTTTGGACTAGTGAGCTGCAGCGTGATACTTTGATTCTGTCTTTGTTTTCTGCCATATGAAGGTTTGGAAAAGGTTATTGTCCCTCATTCAGGATTGCCAGAAAGGTCATGCTTATCCAAGCACCTGTATAGGGTTTACAGACTTCCCCTTTGTACTGCAACAGCTCCATTTTGGAGGATGAAACCAAGACAGGTGATCTTACTCTCAAATATTTCTGCACTCCGTGCCCACGGCGACCTGTGTCTGCCCTTAGAACTGAGACAAGTCACCCTTGAAATGAATTGTAAATAGATAGATCGTGAGATGAGGAAAGCTTTTATAGTATCACCAATGAGGCTAAAACAGATTATAAAGGCTGTGATTTATTTTGTATAACCTTTTTAAAGAGAAGCTCTCACAATAGGAGGACAATGAGATCAGCTTCCCTTGTCCAGTGTCTATGCAAACGATGTTCCGAGACTGGCAAGAATCACTCTTTGGTCAGAAGTATCTCTAAAGTGAAGACAAGTCTTCAGGCAATTAACATTTTCCACATCTATCACTTAGGAATATCTGATGTCCTTGTGCTGACTGTATAGCTACCTATAAGAGAGGGTCTTGAATACCATCCCTGAGTACCCAGGTTCTTACCCACCCAGAAGGCCTCATGATGTGCATTATACCAGGGTCTCCCAGCATATGTGACTGTGTTTGTGTCTTGGTTTGGGAATCCTTTTAGGTGTTAATGCAGAAATAGATACCTCAGTTCCCCCGGCCTCCCAGTGAACTTTCAAAACTGATTTCAGAGCTGGATTAGTACTGTACTATTAATGTCATTATCAAAACAGGACAAAGCTAATGGAACAATTCCTGGATCAACACTGACGGCCAGCCAACCACCAAATCTGCTCAGGGCAATGCCTTCATCTCCTCTTTACTAAAACAAGTGGCAGTGAGAGGAAACCCCGTTGTTTCCTTTCTCCTCTTCCAGGTACTTTTTCATTCTCTTGCTGCTTCTGCCTCTGCTACTCCTTAAACCATCAGTGTAAGGACTGCCTGGCTCTGTCTTTCAGGATCTTGCTCCTAAATCCAGACACTTCCTTGTGCTTGTTAAAACAAGTCAAAATTTTCTCTTTTACTTTGTATTCCCTCTAGGTCTAACTCTATGCTATTTGATCTGACTAGACACTTCCTTCTATGTATGGCATGAAAGAGTGACCCAGAGCTCTTTGGAGACATTTTGGGAGGATTTTCTTCTTCCAGGAGGATGGGAGTTATTTTGAATCAAATCACTGGAGTAAACCTCAGTGCTCAATGGGCTGAGATATCCCAGGCAGATGGCTTTCACCTCTTCAACATAATGTGCCTTTTGCCCAAAGGTAATAAAACAAGGGTTTCTCATCCCCAAAGAAGAACCCTAAAGAAGGAAAGACTGCTGTCCAATCTCAAATCATTCAGAAAAAATTCCTCTTTTTGAAGATCTCTCTAGATTACTATATTTTAAATACTTGGATAAGAATTCTATCTGGGAAAGTGGAATTCTTTTGCCCCCAGAATATTCTATGACCTGCAGACTGTTAAAAGCAGTGAGTGAGTTAGGGAAAGACACTTCTGCTCCCAAGGAGGGAGAAATCAATAAAAATCAGCAAATTTTGAAGGTGATTTTGTGAAAGGTCACTTTTAATCATCTTGTATTTGTTGATCGATTTCATTCATGAGATACATTTAAGACATCTATTAGGCATCAGATGTATAAACACACATGTAGCAAAAGAGAAATCACAAACCTGCTTGCTGTTTCCCCTTGTTCTTTCCTTCAGGTGCGTGCAGACAGAAGAGAAATGATGATAAAGTGGTGAATACATTTACAGCACTTGATAATGGCCAAACTGGACACTGGGGAATTAAGTACCTTAAGTGACCTTTTCCAAGTATGAGCCAGAAAGGCAATATTATTTACAACAAATGTACTCGCATGGCATAGATCTGAGCTAGCACAACATTTTCCTGACAAATCAAATACTTCCCACATATAGTCTAAACCCACAGACTCTTCATTAACCAAAGTTATCCACAGGTAAGCTAAATTGGTTCTGATATGATCTAATCAGTATTACCAAAGGCTCATAGGAAGTTGCTGCTTCAATGTAACTGTAGTCGTTGTGCCTTAGGAAGACTTTTGGATTTCCAAAACTGAATTCATTAATATGTGACTGTGGCTTTGTAATTCAGTCACTTGTTAAAGTAGGTGTTTTTTCCTATTGTATAAAGTATGAATTTCCTTGGCATAAATAAGGTACATAAAAAATCTGTCAGGACGCCTCTTGCCTACAGTTGGGCAGCAATTTTAATAACTTATTTTAGTGAAAGTAGGGCTGGGAAACATGGTGTGGGGAAACTACTCTGAAGATGAACCATGGGCCTCTGGGCAAGCATCTCACCATCTTGTGAGTCTTGTTCTGTCAGTGACTAAATGGAAGGCATTAGATTGAATAGTCTCAAAATGTGACTTCTTAAGGTGCCCCATGGCATCTTTGGAAATTCACGGTTTCCCACAGATTCATGAATTGTCTGATTCATTATCTAAAATTGGACATTTATGTGCATTTCACCCTTTGCACAGTCTTCACTCACTTTGAGAAGAAAATCAAGAAAAAATATTCCCTCTATAAATCTTTCTGTCATTGAAACAAAACTTTGACCTAGTACTTGACACACCTGAAAGGTGCATTTAAGGGACAGACTGGACATGAAAAGAGAGAGGAAGAAAGTGCCAGGTTGTGTCCCTAGCACTATGTGTGAGGGGAGGTAGCACACCTTTTCCCTCTTAGTCCTCTCTTTCACATTTCTCCCTGGAATGAGCCTGTGGGTCAAAAACCCCTACATATTTTTGAAACTAGGGAACCAGAGCACAGGGCTGGTGTTTTTTAATGATAAAAATACCACTGATGATGATAATGGTGATGATGATGTTATTGATAATTCAATCTTTCCCTGACCACCTATTTGAAATGTTCCTAAACTAATTCTCTATTTTGCTTTTCTCCTTAGTACTTACGGCCACTTGACATATAATTAATTTTATTGTCTATTCCCAGTATCCCCTGTATATATACTTCCTGAATCCAGATTCCAACATTTTTTCCTCTCTGACTGCTGCATTGCTGCATGGAACAGTGTCTTGCATGCAGAGATATTCCATGAATGCTTGTTGAAGGATTATAAGACTCTGAATGCCAGAGGGAAATGTGCTATATAAATAAAAAGAAGTTTGGTCTGTTTCTTACTATTCTACATCCAGTAAACCAGATAATTATAAATGTAAAGATAGTCCTTTAAGTCATTGTAAATATTCTTCTCACAAATCTAGAAATTTGACTAAAGTAGGTTTTCTTTCTAAAGCAAAGGTTCTGACTTGGCTTAAGGGAGTCTTAGAATACATTAAAATTGTAGGTAAAGTTTTGATTTTTTTTTGTGCATTGATTATTATTCTTGGGGGAGAGTTCATAATTTCCATCAGATTCTTTTTGATTTAACAAAGAACACTAATAGCAACAACACCATCACCATCATCATCAACAACAGCAGCAGCAGCTAAAAACCACAAGAACAATGCAGTATCCCTGGAGGAAGGAAGAGGATATCCCTATTCCTATGGAATTTATCAGTGAATGCCATGTCACTCAGGACAGGTAAGTGCTCATCAGTGAGAGGGGCTGAGCCTCAGGTTAGTGAGGATGCAGGGAAGGGGCAGGAGGGCCTGGCTCACAGGCGGCCTGGGATGGGATGAAGGCAGGTGTTTGAATCAATCCTCCTCCACATCCACCCCCACTAACAACAGGGGAATATAGTGGAGGAAAAAATTATGTGAGTAAAATCATTGTTGATGCACTGGGAGAATTTGACTCATTATTAAATAGATTTTTCCAGGCTTCAGAATGACTTTTAATCCAAAAACTGCAGCAAGTGGGAAGCCAGATAATCACATATGATAATAGATCACTCTCTTCTGTCACTTGAGAACTCTACTGGTTTTCTTACTAACCTTTCTCTTTTACATTTATCTCGAAAACTTCTTGAAGACAAGAAATATAATTTTTATATAATTCTCATTTTTTATTCATCACCCAAGAAATAGTTATATTCCTTTTTTGTTTTTCCTACACTAAAACTTTGAAAAGATCTAATATTCTGTAAAAGGAGTTCAACTAAACTTCAAAATTTGAATGAAAAGAAGATACTAATCCACACATTCACTAGACAACATTCAGGCCTCTCTCCTTGCTCAAGATCCTCCTCTCTAAAACTCTAGGCTGGGGGTTGCCAAGAATAGGGCTGTCTCAAGTGCTGACAGTTTTAGCCTCTAGGAGGCAGGTTCCACCATGTTAATAGTGCTTTTCCCTTTTTTTGTGAATGGGAAAACTGAGGCCCAGGAGAGACAGGAAGGCCACTGAATGAAACTGCTATTTTCCCACTGGATGCATGGTGCTGCCTCATAACCCCGCAGCAGCATGGTGAGGGACAGACACGATGGTGTCTGCTGTGGTCTCCTTTCCAGATCAGTAAGATCAGGTGGGTCTCCTGAGTCACAGAAGTGTCGTGTCTTGAATCCCAGGAAGCTCTAAGGTTAGGGTTTTGTTGGGAGGGAAACAGCCATGCTCTAAAACAGTAAGCTAGATAAGCAATTTAATACTTTTTGTGAACAATTTGAAGAACTGACTATTCTAATCAAGCTGAGTGACTCATAGAAAGCCTTTCTCATGACTTACTGGCTTTGAAGTTTCAATGCGGGCTTCTTTAATTAGATGGTGATTATGATTTAGCATGCACTCTACTAGCAGAACTGCTGTCTAATAGTCTAACACTAACGACTTTTTTTTTTAAATTAAAGATCATTGTGGTAAAATTAAGACTGTTTATAACTCCCCAGTTTCTCCCTTCCTTCTAGGTACATGGTAGGATTGCACCTTCCCATTCTCTTGCTTTTAGGAATGACTAGATAATTTGCTTTGGCCAATGAAATATGGCTAGATATAATATTACTTTAAAATTTTTTGAATGCTAATTACAAATTTTAATCTGCTTGGTCCCATTGCCTCATTCAAACTCTAATCCTATTACTCCAGTTTTTCATTTTTGGGTACTGGTGCGAGTCTGATCTGCACGTGAAAGCTCAGGGACCACCCTGTAAGGAGATCCCAATAAGAAATGACTTTTGACAGATACAAATGTGCAAAGATGCGTTATTCGCAAGGTGCTCCCCTCTTGAGATCAGGTGAGTGGAAGATAATCCTTGTTTTTAAAGAACTGTGCCACTAACCTTTAGAATTGTGATGAGTTTTATGAGATGAGATAGTAGAAAATTAACATGAAACAGTAGAAAGAAATTCCTACAGAAGTCTGTGGATGGTGAGGAATGATACTGATTCCATTTAGTTTTGTGCTTGAGTTGCTACTAAACAGATGCAAATCTCTTTAAGACCACGAGAAAATAAGACAAGCCAAAGCCAACACTCCTCGTGTGTGAACATGGTCTGTTTACCAAACTCCAGAAGACCTTTCCATGGCAGCAGTTGTCACACTGATACCTACTTGGTGGGGCTGCAGGTGTGCAAAGCCTTCAAGTGCGGCTTCCAGGTTGCAATGGAAACAGATTTCTCATCTGCTGCGTAACTGCGCCAAACGCACTGCATGTGGCATAGATGAGGACATAAAAAAGAGAAAGACAGCAGGAAACAGCATGAGATGAAAAGGGAGTTGATTAACTTATACTACATATTAAAATCTTTTCCTCACTGTACTTAGCCCTGATGAATTTCCAAAGGAAAAAGACTACTTTGCCATTTCTGGCTGGCTATCACAATTCTGCCACATGAGAATTGCTTTTCAGAACAGTGCACATCAGAAAGCAAAAGTGCAAAAAAATACAACATCATGAAATGTTTGAACTGTTTAGGGAAAGATACTATGCCATCTGAAACAAAATTAGTTAATAAGTAATTCATTCAATATATATTGATGTCCAAGAGACTAGTTAGATAAATTACCTGAGTATGAACATTCATTCCAGGAATTGTGTTTTGATCAATATTTGGTAAGATAGAGGCAAAGAATTATGAAAAATTCTTTATGCAACTAGTGAACTAACGAATAAACTAATGACCTCCAGTGTATGTTACTAATTTAGTGAAACCTCTGAAGTTGAACTATGCAATATTTCCAGTGCTAAAAAGGAAGATGGTGATAACAAGAAGCAGAGCCAAAACAAGATAGCATGAAATTTATTCTTAAGGAACATAATTGGAAAGCACCTAAGGATTTAATGCCTCCAAAAAAAATGTGTTAAGTACATGTATCAACTCCTTACAAGTATAATCATTATGTACTGCAAACATGTACAACTGAAAATAAAAACAAAAAAAAAAACAAGCTCTATTTCATATAATCACACCTGACACATGATAAGAAGCATTTTCATGTGATCCTTATAATCAAAGTATAGATTAAGACTCATTTTGCAGATGAGAAAATTAAGTGTTCAGGTAGATAAGGAGGTGTATACAAGGTTGGTAAGACAGTGTCTTCAGTCACCGGGCTCTTGGTTCCAGCCCTCCATGGGGAATTTTGCTGACTGCATGATGACTGTGATTGGAAGAGCTTCCATCTAAACAGTCCATTTGAGTGTCTGCCTGGACTTGTTTTCTCATACAGACTTTGGTACATTTATCCTGTTGAATCAGCCTGCAAACATCTCTAATGACCAAGTGTTTGTTCCAATTCCTCAGAGAAATTTTTTTATTATGATTTGTTACTCAGAATATTCCATTTTATGTGGCAAATTCATTTAAATGGGTCATATCCCTACTATGTCACTATCAGTCATGATTTTGAGACCAACAATGAAAAAAAGTGATCTAATTATATTCCCTTTCCTGAGAATATCATTGAACAAATGTGAGATGAATGAAAAAGGTAAAAATCAGCACAACTATTTTGGAAAACTATCTGACAGTATCTATTAAAGGTGAACATTATGTCCTATGATAGCGCTATCAATTCCTAGGTAAATATTCTATAGATATGCTTATATGTGTTTACCAAAAGATATGCACTATATATTGTTTTTTATTAGTACATGTTAGTATTATAGAACAATGGGATTTGTCTTGGAAAGTTGGTACTGTACATGTAGTTAACATATCTTTATCTTTTTCAATCCTGTTACCTTACTTTTCTTCCCTTTTTCTTGCTTATCCCTTTCCCTGTCTCCAGTCTTCTCTCCTTTATTTTATTTATTATTTTATGTATTTTTTTAAGTTTCTCCTATAAGAGAAAATATTCAATATTTAACTTTCTGAGTCTGGCTAATTTTCAGTTAACATGATGCTTATTCCATCATTTTTCCTATGAATGATCTAGTTTCATTCTTCTTTATTATTAAGCAATATTCAAATGTAAAAATATATATCACTATATATGGGCATATATATCAGTTTCTTTATGCATTCATTTATTGATGGTCATCTAGGCTGTTTCTATAGCTTAGCTATTGTTAATTGTGCTGTTATAATCATGCGTATGCATGTATGCAGTCTTTAACAGTTTTGGGAATATGCCCAGGAGTGGATCAAACAGTGTTTCTATTTTTTTGGAGGAATTTCCATACTGACTTTCATAGTGGTTGTACTAGCTTACATTTCCACTAACAATGTAGGAGAGTTCCTTTCATCCCAGTCCCTTGTCAGTATTCATTGGTTTTTTTTGTATATTAGATATAGCCACTCTGACTGGAGATGGAATCTCAAAGTAGTTTTGATTTGCACTTCTTTGACAGCTAGTACTTCTTCTGAGAAGTGTTGATTCAGTTCATTTGCCCACATTTTTTCTTTGATTTGGGGATGTTAATTTTTTGAGTTCTTCTTATGTTCTAGATACTAATCCTCTATCAGAAGCATAGCTAGCAGCAATTTTCACCCACTCAGTAGGTTGTCTTCATTCTCTTGTTTCCTTTGCTGTGCGGAAGCTTTTTAATTGGGGGTAGTCCCATTTGTTGAGTCTTGCTGCTATTTCCTGCGCTACTGGTGTTCTTCTCAGGGGGATTTTGCCTGAGCCTATGACTTGAAGTGTTTCTTCTATGCTGTCTTTTAGCACTTTTACTGTTTCTGGTTTTATATGTAGATATCTGATCCAGTTTGGTTTGCTTTTTGTACAAGGTGAGAAATAGGGATGTAGTTTAAATCTTCTACATGTGGATAGCCAGTTTCCCCAGCACCACTGATTAAAGAGGTTGTCTGTTTTTCAGTATATGTCTTTGGTACCTTTGTCAAAAATCAGACAACTGTTAGTGCATGGCCTTGTGTTTGAATCTTCCGTTTTATTCCACTGGTCTACATGTCTGTTTTTGTGCCAGTATTATGTTGGTTTCTAGTAATCTAAACACAGACAAGTCTAGACATCTATCAACAGTAGCATAAATAGAAAACTTGTGGTATGGTGAGATAATGGAATACTATAATGGCAGTAGTCCACTATAACTGTGCTTAAAAATATGGATGAACTTCCTACAAATGATGCTGCATGAGTGAAAGAAGCCACAAAAGAGTACATTTTCATAAAGTACAAAAATGAGACAAAATCAATCTATCCTGCTAGGAAAGAGACAGTAGTTACCCTTGTAGGATGGTAGTTGAGAAAAGCCACACAGAAGGTCACATAATTCTTATCTGAGTGCTGGTTATGCACTAATACTAAGTTCTCTTAGCAAATACAGTATTAGCAAATACAAGTTCATGAACTTGATTATTTCCATGATTCTGGTCACGAACCGAGTTGGATGAGAATCAAATCAAATAAAAAATGAAGACACAGGCACATTAGTTTTGGGCTACACAGGGTCAGGGTCTTCTACCTCTAAAACCTGTCCCATTAAAAAGTCTTCAGGGGCAGTAACATTTATGGGGTTGTTGTCTTCTATGTTAGCAACACCTTCTTCTGGAATCCCTCCTGATGGACCTCTCTGAGCCTATTTTACAATTAACTTCTTTTAAAATTAAATGAAAGTTAGGGCCGGGGATTTAGCTCAGTGGATCTGCCGCCTACCTCACAAACGCAAGGTCCCGAGTTCGATCCCCGGTACTCTCCCCCCTCCAAATTAAATGAAAGTAGTACACTGTACAATAAGGATTAAAAGTATGGTATAATAAATACACAAACCAATAAAAAAATTCAATGGTTAGGTTCAGTATTGACCTTATAGGGAAATTTGATTCGGTTCTCGTCCAGTTTGGTTTTCGTTCAGAATCATGGAGAGAATTGAGTTTATGAACCGAGGTACCACTTGCATGATTTTTTCTGTATGCACATTATTCTGCAGTACAGTATTCAGTAAGTGACATGATAAACTAGAACCAGAGGGATTTTTTTGTTTTCAAGAAGATTTTAAAAAAATATTTTCAAGCAGGAGTTTTTGCTTGAAGACTTGCTCGCATGGCTCATGTTGAATTAACTGATAAATCTGTGGAAATTTGTGCTAAGCATCTTAACACTTTATATATAATAATTAACATCATAACACCTTGAGGTTTTCACAACTGTACATGCACAACTTTTAGTGATCTAGAATAATCAACAAAAACACATGTATTTATTATTACAGCTGCTTCCGTAGTAGTGAGACCCAAAGACCCTCCAGTGTGGTGAGGGCACAGATGGCTACTTTTTTTTTTTTTTTTTTTGGTACCAGGGATTGAACTTGGGACCTTGTGCTTTCGAGGCAGGCAGTGGAACCACTGAGCTAAATCCCCGGCTTTTGTTTTTGTTTTGTTTTTTTGGTACCGGGGATCAAACTCAGGACCCTATGCTTGCGAGGCAGGCAGTGGAACCACTGAGCCAAACCCCCGGCTCCGTTGGCTGCTTTTATTGAACAATTTCCACTTGTTCAATAGAATGTGACTCATACAGCAGTTCCATGAATTAGCTAATTCCAGTTAAAAATCCAGAACAACAATATAACAAAAAACTGGACCTGTTAATGTTATAAAGAATTGGGGCCCCTTTGAGAAAATTAAAGATTTTCTTTACAATAAGACCTGGATTCTTTGTTCTTTTTCTATAAAAGTGATCTTAACAGCTAAGCTCTTGTTCCCTTCATTATTCTTCTCCTAAAAATGTCTTGTAAATGAGAGGCCCAGAAGGGACGAGTGGTATCTATCACAGGGCTGTTACTAGTTAACCATCAAAATAGAAGTGGAAAGTATAACGCTACTACTTTTATATCTTAATGACCATGTCCTGTTCTTGCTCCCAGCTAATTGCTTCTAACAGCTGAAATTCAAGCCCACATTCAGATGAGCTAGTACCTGATGTTCCTATACTTAAGGCCCAAATCACATAGTGGTTGGCAAGAGAAAAGTAACACCCCAGAGAGATTTCCTATGGTTACTTTACATGACACATCGATTCCAAAGGACAAGTTAACAAGAAGCATGAAGGCCAAATTTGCTATTTATCAAGCAATGCTGATGCTCTAAGTGGCCAAAGAAACTTGAACTTTGCTCTATAATTTTACATCAGGATAATTCAGTTCTAGGGGAGTTCTAGTTTGTATTGTCTGGAGTGGTTTATTTATGGTGAGCCTGAACCTTTCTGGACATGGTCCAGAAAGCTTCAGCTGACCAACCAAAGCTATATTAACACAGAACTTATTTTTTCAAGGTACACAGTTTAGAATATTAGTTCTGCAAAATTTAGGATGTAAGTTAGCAATCCCTTTCCCATTCACATTAATTTCTGTTTTGCAGTGGCAACCTCTTCAATTCTTAGAGTTGTCATTTCTATTCTTAAGAATCCTTATTTTAAGCACGATGTTCATAATTATATTTCTTCATTTTTCAATTTCAGGCATTATCCATTAACTTCCAACCATGAAAGAAAATAGCGTGGCCTACTTACATGCCCTTTTCTTATCTCATACTTCCAATATTTTTATATCACAGTATTAGTGTTTGCATTATTATGAGCATGTAACTATTGTTCCCAAGCAATGTAATTTATTATGACTACTCTCTTTCCTGTATAATATTTATATTTTTTTGAAGTTATTATTGTCCTATTTTAATTTCTTGATTTGCCTTCATGTAACTATTATAAAAACATTCTCGATCTCATCTACAGGATTCTAAAATTCCTTTTGTCAGTATATCATGAAATCAGTCAGTTGCACTTTTTTGTACTCTTGAAGATGGTTTTTCTGTTGCTCATGGCCTTCTGCTCCATTGGCGTCCAGCCTGCTGTGCCTGTGGTCCGGGGACTTCCCTTCCTTATCATCCTGGGATCCCCTCTGCCTTTCCTGTGTGGGAATTCTCATTTCCTGAATCTTATGCCTCTTACTCTCTTGGTTTATCACTTTGTTTTGGAAGAGCAATTCTATCTAGATTGTTTTCTGGAGTAAGGGCAAATAGCAAATTTTTAAGATTGTCCATGTGTACAGACATCTTTGTGCTGGTCTTATACTCCATGAATGTTTAGCTACATACAGAATTCTAGGTTGGAAGTAATTTTCTTCCATAATTTTGAATGTATTGTTTCACTGTCTTCTAACTTTAGAGCTACTAACGGGATGTCCAGTGCCATCCTGATTCTTGATCCTTTGGATATGTGCACTCAGATGGCATTTAATATCTCTTTTTGCAGGTGTTCTGATATCTCATTATGATAATCCTGCAATGAAATTGCTGATACACAGTGCTGGGCACTTGGTGGATTCTTTTACTGGAACCAGTCCTGCCTTTCAGTTCCAGAGAATCATAATGTAATTTTCTCTGGTAAAATCCCAGTCTTAGTTTCCCTGTAGTCTAAGGAACCTCTATTAGTTGGCTCTTGGAACTCTTGGAAATGTCTTTCAATTTTTTTGTCTTATTTTTCATCTCTGTCTTTTTATTCTTTATTCTGTGGGAGATTCTGCTGTCATGTTTTTTACATTTTTTGGTCTTTATTTATGACTCAAACACTAAGAAAGATGTATCATCCTGTATAAGTAGCCTGAAAGTATGGACTGATATCTTCACTTTAGGGTAACTGGAAGAACACTAAGAGAAAGCCAAAGTTTCAATGTATATATATTTTTCTTTTGGGTTAGTTATCTTCCTCAAGGAAACATCTTTGAATCTTTTTTTCTGAAGGAAATTAACACTATCTGTCAGCCTTAATTTTACAAATGCTCACCTAATTTCCTTGTTTCTGGTTTTAGTAAAGCACCTTAGATGCATTCTGAATTGGTCCAACCTTTTCAGAAGTAGACCTGTGATATGGCACTTGGGAAGAATCTTTAAGGACTAAATGCAAGTCTCCATACTGTGCAGGTATTCAAAATGTTACTGAAAGTTGATTTCTTTTCCCAGACTGCTCCACTTGTAATGAAAAGTTAATTTAAATGAATCATGCAAAGATATTGACACAGCTAAATGTGCTGCAGACTGCCAGGGCTTTAAACTTTTCACTAAAACCCTGAGATGCTAGTTAATTTAGTTCTCTTGCCAACCAAAAAATAAAGCAATTTGGGCATCTCACTTGTTCTTGTAAGAAGATAGTGGCTCTGGCTTAGAACAAATGAGATTGCTTTTGGTCTTGATGTCTTGTATGCTCGGCAAACCAAGTCACGTTTATTGGGTAAGAAAATGAATGCATTGGCAAATGAAGCCTGATTTTTCAATATAGTGCATCCTTAAAAATACATTTCTACAATCTATCATCAAGGTCCAAAGCCCTGAATCTTGTCCAAAGACTATATCGAGGATAAATAATGAACCAAATAATTATTACATTATTATTCTTACGTATAATAAATAGATGGCATTGAATTAGGAACCAGTTGCTTTTTAAATTAGCAAATTTTATTTTGATTTATGAAACTATGATCAGATTTTAAAGGTATTCTTGAATGTATCAATCCTTACACTTTGCATTCTTTTCTGCTAAGAACAACATAAAATTTGGACTTTTAAGTAAAAGAAAAATTCATGATTTTGCTGTATTGTTACCTACATGTTTACAAGCTCAAGTGTTGATCCCAATATATATTGCATAATCATAATCAAGTACCAAAAAAATGAAATTTCAAGCCTCTAGCAAAACTGCTCAATCAGCGTCTTCTCTATGTTTTATGCGTTACCTGTGAGAAGGCCTTGCCTTATTTTGGTTGTGGATGTATAAATGCCTCTGCTTTGATGATTTAATGCAGAAATAGCTATTTATTTTTAAGTTCTATTGGAAATTACTTTTGCATAATTTAGTAGCTGATAATGACAAATAGATGAAAAGTTTCTGCTTTCTTTGTCTACATTGGTCTTGTGCAGTGTTGTAGTCAACAGTCAGTTATAACCAGTGAACATTTGTCTAGTGCCACAAATTTTAGATTTTAATGAATTTATATTTAAATAGCTATATGTAATTAATGGTGACCATATTGGTCACCATAGCTCTGTAGCATCACCACTGATACATGTATCAGAATCTTGCTTTCTAGCACAAGCCCTTAGAGCTCATGCTCTAAGAGGTTTTATGTCTGTAAAAGGTATTATTGGTTTCATACGTAGACAGGCATTGGTGTCCAGATGAAGCAAGAAACCAATCAAGATGCCTTTGGTTTTCACGGGATGGAAAGTCTTGTTTTAGGGCGAAAGGAAATTAAAGATAAGAATAATAAAGAGCAAATTTTGTAAGATGTATGGATGCATGAGCCACCAGATAAGAAGTCCTAAGGATGAAAGACTCTTGAGTCCTGGGCCTCTGGTGTTCTGTACGTGCTAAAGTGTGTAACTCCTTTTTTCATTCTGGAGACTATTGTTTAGCACCAGTTTCTAAATTCCAACTACTTAGGGATCCTTTCCTTTAGGAAAATGAAGTTTACTTTCTCTTTTAAAATCAGTAGAGGGAATGGAATTAATATGAGAAAATGAAAAAATGGAAACAAAATCTTTGTAAATAGGGAGGGATGGAGGGGCTGAAGGGAGGGCAGGGGAAGGGGGAAAAATAAGAACCAAGAGAGATCATGTAAAGGTGCAAATTTCCAATGCTGAATGTCATTATATTGTATACCTAAAATGTACTAATAAAATTAATTAAAAATAAAAAAATCAGGAAATTTAAAAAAGAGACTCAGTTGTTTGTATTAGAAATCATACCCATTGTTTCACCTTCTTGTCAATACGTAGTTGCAGAATAACTTGATTAGAAGTGTAATGTGCTAATTTAGTCCTTAGAAATGAACAGATCTCCCTGATATATTGGAGCTGCACTCCTTGATCTCCCCTACTCTGTTTCTTTTGGAGGGGCTGATACCACAGCCACAGATAAAGGCTGATGGGGTAGGGTTCATTGGGGTTACTTTCTATTAACTCAGCCCCTCAAACCAGCAATCTTTTTTTTTTATTAGTACCGGGGATCAAACTCGGGTCTTTGCGCCTGCGCAGTGGGCGGCGAAACCACTGAGCTAAATCTCCGGCCCTCAAACCAGCAATCTTAATCAAAGCAACATGCTTCTTACACAACATGAAGGCAAATCCCTTAGGATCTTGGTTTGCCATCCCAAACACCTCCAGTTTAGAGGTTCTGGAGCTTCTCCTGTCTGGCAGAAAGAGAAAAATTCAACTGTAGAATTATCTTGTCCATAATTAAATGCCAATTCTATATTATGGGTCTAGAAAACAATATATTTTGTGATTCTTTATCTGATTCTATTCCCAAAAGATATGGATAAGGAAAAGAGAAGCATTTCTTTTAGTGCCAAAGCAAGCCCCGAGTTCAGGAAAGAAAATGCTAAATCATATCTATCTTCAAATAATATGCTTATTGTTTCATATGCTCAAAGACTGATGTCTTCCATATTCCCACCGGCTCTTAAAATTGCATACTATTTCAAGTTATTGCTCTCTACACGGCATTAAAAGCAATTCCACAGGTACTAAACTTTGACATTCTAAACAGATAGGTTGTTTTTCAGAACGGTGGTAAACACTGGCTGGAGAAAGTAATTGCAATGCAGGGAACAATGCCATCTTTTGGCCCATCACGTAATGATCAATTATGTTCCACCTTGTAATTCATAAGACATCCTAGGTCATTCCCGGAGCAACACAACTGCTAATCTCCACACATTCTTGCTGCATGGTTAATTAGTTTGAATGGTGCATGGATCTTTTTGTAAAAAAAATGTATTTCTCTGTTTGGGAGAAGGGGAGTATTTCCCCAGACCCAGTTCTGACTTCACTTTTTAAAAAAGCAATGAGGTACAGGGATTTGAAAGCCACTCAGCAAGCATGCATGGTGACATGTTGCCATCTACCTATTACACTGTAATTCACCTGAATGAGGTTGGCAGCTGGGTTTCTTCTCTTCTCAAAGTGTTTCTGGCGGTGTTGTTCCTGTACTTTTAATGCAAAACCTGAGCCAAGAATGCCCTGGAACAAAATATAAAAACAGTAATTAAAAAAAATTCAAAAACCCTGTCAAATAATACACATATTTTAAAAACCTCTAAAATGAGTCTGAGATAAGACAAATAGTATATAACCTGTCCACAATAAAAATGCTACTTATTAAAACAAGCTCTCTATTAGAATACCATTAGCTATTGGCAAGTTGCCGGGCAACACTGCCAAGGGACACGGTAACTTCTGTTTTTTAGCAAGTCAGTTAGGTATCATCATTTATTGTCTTTGACAGCAGAGTAAGAGGCACCATATTTAAAACTAAAAAATGACAGAAAAGCTTTCTTTGTGATATTTCTTTTTGCTTAAATTTGACTGAGTGATCTTATCCAGTGATATAATTTAGCAGATGTGAATTCTAGTTTTACACAGCTGCAGTCTCAATTTGGGAGAGTGAAAGTCTTGCTGCTGTGTACTCAGGAGCATTTGCAGCACTTCGATGAAACAGAACGTGCATATCCTCCATCCATGAAATGGGGAGGGAGTGTTTCAAATCTGTCCCAGCTGTAGTCCTTCGTGATGCTGCAGTTCTATATGTACCACAGTAAAACAGCAGAGAAAGGGGAAGTTATCCAGATGAGATGAGCAGGCAATCAGTTTGAAGACAGAGAAGGGTTTTCATTTTGCCCATGTGTATGATAAAGATGAGAGTGTGAATCATATGAAGCACATCCCTCTTTTCCTCTGTTTTAATCAGGCACTGTCAGCATTCCTCATCTTTTTGGTTTCAGCTCACCTATTTGGATTTTGGGCTTAGTAAGGTAGTATTCCCTCCCATGTTTACATGAGGTTTTGGCTAGTCTGCTTTCCTTCTGCTTATCATCTGGATCTGCCAAAAGTCTGCTTCTTTGATGTTACATTCCCTTTTCAGTTTGCTTTGGTCTAGCATTTGTGAAATCAAGATGCTTTTTGTCTCAGCCTATGGTTGACTTTCAGAGCTTGCTATATTCAGTCTCTGGGCTTTGTCTATACTCTCCACTTTATTAGTGTGGGACTTGGGGCACCTCAAGTTTGTGGATTTTACTTACTAGCTATAAATTATTAGCTTTTTATTAAACTTCAAGGAGTCTAACCCTTAGGTTAGAGGTGGACATCTTACAAGCATGAAGTCAGTATCTGCCATAGGTAAGGAATGCTTTCTTTCTTTTTCTTTAAGAAGTTCAAAGATGATATAGGCTGCCTGTGTAGGTGGTGGGTTTTTCATCTCTAGGAGGTATAAAGTCTCAGCTGGTGACAGCTTGGCTGACATATTTTGGGGCTGTAGAGAGCCTTTAACCTTTTTTCTTATTTTGAGATTCCACAATTCTGACCACATCTGTGACAATAACCAGACAATAACTAATGCAATCATGTTTTGAATACACAAATACTATTTACTATTAATGAACAACAATGTAGTCCATTATTAATTAGGACAAATGACTGTACCTTGAAATTAGCAATGACCTCATAGGTTCTGTTTTCCGTCTCTTTTTTTTCAATGTGTGCTTCATGCTGGCTAAGATCTCCATCTCATGCAAGTTGTGATTACACAAACTAAGCTTTTATGAAAACCTGGTTTCTATGATCTGGTTTGTACATTTAAACAGTGTTTGCCTTTTATAATTGGGAGGTTATAAAAACAGCTCTCCATTTCCAAGTTCAGATCCACTCTAGTCATTTATAAATCCTAATTTTTATTTGTTATAAGGTTATTTGGGAAAGACATTTATTTTTCTTTTAATATCATTTTCCATGAAGTATAAGAGAATATAAAAACATTAGAATTTATAGCACTTATTTATAACATATATTAGATGTACACACATTGTGTACATATTTGTACCTAGCCTGCTCTTCAAGAGAACAATTTAGATTTTGTAGAAATTGAATTAACAGCAATAAGAGCTATCATTTTTAAGCACTTATGTGGATATGAGGTTCAGAGTTAAATCCCCCTGGGAAATGAAAACAGGTCCTATAGCACGAATTTAACATTTACCAAGAAACTTAATTGTGCTGAAAATCACTAGGTATTGCTGAGAAACACGTATTAGTAGATGGCAACTGTTTGTTCCATATCTTTTGTGCTAGACTGTACACTACAGCCGTTATTAAACCAGGTCTGCTCATTGTCTCATTGTGGCTCTTTTCCAATTTTCTTCTGCCTCTGCCTCTCTTTCCACATGCAACTCAGTGCACCTAAATAGTCTTTTAAAGTTAAGTCTGTCGAGATACACACACACACACACACACACACACACACGCACACACACACAGAGCGTTTAATCTTCAGACATATGTGCCAGCCCTTCAAAGTGGACAGCAACAGATGAAAACTCTTAGAAATGAGTTTTATTTTCATTCATTTTGTAGGAAAACAAGACTTAAAGTTTTAGGCTTTAAGTTTTAATATTAGGCTGAGAAGAGATACATAAACACCAAGTTCAAAAAAAAAGTTTTAGTGAACATTTTAAATATTTATCCCTCCTTATCTTCTAGCTTAAACGAGCATAATTTATACCTCACACATGGTAAACAAGCCATGATGAAAGATTTTCAACAGTTGTTAATATTTTATTATGCAATTATCATATATTTGTTAATATTGCTAATGATTATAGGTACTGACTATAGATATCAAATGGTTAAGGTCAAATCAAACAGAGCTAGCCCTTCCATTGACCTTAGTAGCTGGATATCTCAGTATCTGGGAAACTCAATTTCTTCTTCATTAGTGAAAAGATGCCTGTCACAGGAATCTCTCCGGAGGGAGAGAACCCTTGAAAGAAGCAAACCACCTCCTCAATAGGGGGATGTGGAAGAGCTGGGGTTGCCTCTGGGGCCCCAAGGGGAGTGACTGCCAGTATGGCTCAGCAAGCATGGCCTCTGTGATGCACAAGAGCCATTTCCCTCTGAAGGTAAGATGGCCACACTTCCTCTTCCAGTTCCTGGGTGGGAGCAGCTCAAATCCACTGCAGGCTTTCCCAGCAAGATGCCAACATGTTCTCCTAAGTTTCAGTCAGACAGCACTGTTGGCTGGCAGATGCGCAGGATAAAACTGTAACTCAGCATGACCCATGAGGTGGAAGTGAAGAGAGCCGGAGTGGAGAATGCTTTTGTTGATGCTGATGGGACACTGTTTTATGACACTATTTTATGCATGCACATTTTCCAGATTCAACTTGCATTCAAACATTGTAATCATTTTATTGGAAACACTCCCAGGAATGACTACTTAGTCTTTGACCTTTAGGCTGACCTCCTGACACAGTTTAACCTCCCTGTAATTGTCTGGAGTTTCATGATGGGGCCCACACATTTCACTGTGCTTGATGCAGCTGGCTTGCAGAGGTGGGAGAACTAAGCACTAACTGGTCCCAGACAGGTCTTCTTATAGTTTGAATGTCTCTAGCTCCTTGACAGTTACAGATTTTCTTTCCTCTCTCTTGCTATTAGTCTTTCCCCATTTCTTTCTGTTTTAGAGTTTGTTCTACCAGTCTCCTTCTACATTTGCTGTTTTATAATCTACAAAGAACTTTGAAACTATATAGGTAAATATATCAGAGTTTTCCTGGATAATGAAGACTCAGTTATAAATTAGGTCTCAAGTGACTCTCTTATGGGACCGCATAGTGTCTCATTAAACAACTCAGCTATGTCTGCGATCTCAGGCTAAATAGAAACCCCAAAGCAGCAGGTATTTGTGCCATTATTTTAGAAAAAAACACACCAAGGCTGCATTTTACTGTTTCTGAAGGTGTTTCCTGTGGAGAATCTGATTACTGAATGAGTCTGCTCTGTTCTGGATTGTTGAAATTGCCAGATGAGTTGATTTTGGATAAATAAGGGTTTTTTTCCCCTATTTTCTTTGATTTCATCATTTTGTACATGGAAACGTGTAGTTTTATACTCATACAGGTAAACAGAAGTAACATTGAGTTTTCTTCAAAAGAAGCCCACATTATTACAAACGTCTTCACAAAATTTCTCTGGGCTCTTTATTTCTTCCTATCTTAAAATGATGAAGAAACATATTTAAATCATTGTTTTGAGCTGGATTATGCCCCACTGCCCCAATTCTTATGTTGGAGTTGAAATCCCTGTACTTCAGAATATGAAGTTATTTGAAGTCAGGGCCCTTACTGAGGTAATCAAGTTAATATGACGTCATCAGGATAGGCCCTAATCCAATATGGCCGATGAAGAGAGAAGAGGAAGTCAGGACAGGGATGAACTGAAGACACAGGGAGAAGACAGCCATGGACAAAGCCAAGGAGAGAGACTGAGACAGATCCTCCTCCTATGGCTCTCAGAAGGATCAACCCTGCCAGCACCTCGACGTTAGCCTCCCAGGACTGTACAACAACACATTTCTGTTGTTTCACACAGCCACTCTGTGGCATCTTGTTGCAGCAGAGCTAGCAAACTGACCCAGTCACACAGTACCGACACAGTTGCAAACTGAGGCCCAAGGCCTGAGCACAGGCGAGCCCTTTTCCGTGTCTTTTCGGAGACTTTGAGAGGCCCAGTGTAGAGCCAGCTGGTCAGAATGGAGTTGGCACTGGCTGTCAGAAGGACATGTGTCCTCTGCTTTCATTTCCAGGCAGAGAAGGAGCGGGGAGCCCAAGGCTGTGGTGCTGAAATTCCCCAGGTGGCCTCCCGCTCCTTGGTGCTTTGGGTCTCCGCTGGGTGGAGGCAAAGCTTCAGCTTTCGATTGCCACAAGACCTTGTCTGTTTTCCTGGCCTCAGGAGCCCTAGGTCACTGTTAACACTCCTTCCTGGTGACCTCCCTGCCAGGAGGTGGAGTGACCAATGATGAGAGGTGGGGCAAACAGGACTACATTGACCAACTACCTTTAAACAAACAAGAAGATGCAACGATCAGAAAGGGAAGCTTCATCGGTTAAGAAGAATATGATCAGAAGCTAGCAGGAAGATAAATGTGCTCTTCATTCTGATATAATGCAGAAAGTGCTTTTTTTTTTTTAAATTCAATGACAGAGACACAAAGAATAAATCATGGGACACATTTAAAGCCATTTAAGGTCATATACTTTTCACTCAAATGGATCTGAAGAGGAAAACACCCCACATACACACATCTGTCTCTTTAGAAGTACATATTATAAGCCGGACAGGAGCGATCAGTTTAAAATGAAGATATTTTTAAATCTTTACAAATATTTTAAATGTATTAGTGGCATACTGGCTGAGAGGTCATTTGAATGATTATTTGGCCATAAAGACCTAGCTGGTATTAAAGTATCAAATGTCTGTGAGGGAAGGATCATATTTTATGAAATATCTACCTGTCAACATTGTATTAGAAAAATAGTGTTTGTCAGTGACACAGATATGTTCCCAAGCATACCAGTTTGTGATAGCTCACTCCTGTAAACCTCTGCAACCGAATTTAAACTCCTTTAAACTGCTCTGTTATGAAGATACTTACAGCAGGAAGTGCAAAGAAAGAAATGCCCAGGAGTGCAAAGCCTGCGGAAAGCAACCTTCCCAGCCAAGTGAGGGGAGTTTTGTCTCCATAGCCAATAGTCGTCAATGTGATCTAAAAACAAAATAAACAAAACATTCAGTTTAAGTACTTGAGAGGGAAGTTAGGACCCACTAGCAGGAGGCAAAGCAGCATTTCCATTAAATCATTATTCAATGTGTGTTGTCGGCGTATTTTATTACTGTGCTTTAATTTTCCATGACGCATAAGAGGACTTCTCTTTGTTTAAGAAAAGAAATAACCTACATACTTGTTCCACCCCTGTAACACAGTTTTCCATCTTTTCTAAGTGTATTTCACAGAAAGGTTATTTAAGCAAGCAGATAGCCATCAGTGATACAGAAGTGGCTAGCACTATGGATTTAGGGCTGAATCAGTACCCTAAACAATCAAATTGATGTTAACGAAAGCTGCCCATTCATTACCTTGACAAGCTCCTCCTGAAGTTCTGGGGTGTGTGAGGGTCAGGTTATGATTTGTAGTGGAACAAAAATGACAGGCATACAGTTCTTGTCCTGAGATATGTAAGTCATAGTAAGGGAAATGTATCACACACAAATAATTAAAATACAAAATAAGGCAAGACAGGGTTCATGATGGAGGCACCACCACCTGCTGTAGGAATTCAAGGAACAGATGGGTTGCTATGAGGTTGAGGGTTGAGGCTCACTGGAGGGGCGATGTCAGCAGACTTAGGCGTTGAAGGAAGGGCAACTTTGTGAAAGGCAGGAATGATAGGGCGGGCGCTGTGGAAGGGAAACAGATGACCAGTGGCAGAATGGCAAATACAACAGGGAAGGTTCTGGAAAGGGTACTGGTGGCTTCTTCAATTTTTTTCGTTAACATTTTATGGTTTTCCGTGTATGGGTCTTTTATTTTCTTGGTCAAATTTATTCCTAAGTGTTTTACTTTTGATAGCTATTGTAAATGAGACTGTTCTGATTTCTTTCCCATTGTTAGTGTCCTAAAAACTCTACTGACTTGTGCATACATTGATATTTTTAATCCTGCAACTTTGTTGAATTACTCATTCTGTTTTTTTATTTGTGTGTGTGTGCACATGCGCACTCTTGTGTGTATGCATGCTCTTTAGGGTTTTCTCTATACAGATAATGTCATAAGAAAACAGTGGTGACTTCACTTCTTCTGCTCCAATTTGGATGCCTTTCATTTCTTTCTCTTGCCTAATGGCTCTGGTGAGAATTTTCAGTACTGTGTTGAATAGAAGCAGGCCAAGTGGTCTCACTTGTCTTATTCTGGATGTTAAATGAAAGGCTTTCAGTTCTTCTCCCATGAGTATAATGCTAGCTGTGGGGTTATCATATAAATCTTTATTGCATTGAAGTGCATTTTTCCTATACTTAATTTGCTGAGAGATTTTTTTAATGACAAAAGGATTTTGAATTCTGTAAAAAATTTTTTCTGTATCTAATGAGATGATCTGAAAGAAAAGAAATAAAAAATAGACAAAGATGAACACTGCATGCTCTCACTTATATGTGGAATCTAAACCAATCAAATTCATAAAAGAAGAGCAGAGAATCATGGTTACCAGAGCCAGGAGATGATAGTCAAGGGATACACAGCCTCAGCTAGGAGAAATAAGGCATGGTTTTTGAGATCTATTGCACAGTATTATGAATATAGTTAATAATAGTATATAGTAAAAATGGCGTCACTAAAAAACAAAAGGATTTGATGTCATGGATATATTAATTAGCATGATTTGGCTATTCTACATTGTATTCATAAATCGTAACATCCATTGAATCTCATAAATACATACAACAATAATCTGTCACTTTATAGTAAAAAAGAGAGAAGCATTAGTAGAAGAGGAGTTTAATGTAATATGCTAAAGTTAGGTCAAGGAATATCTTGCTTTTGTAAAATTTATTTTGTTTTTATTTTCTGTGATGTTGAGTCTTAAACCCACTTGCTAGGCAAGTGTTCTGCCACTGAGCTACATCCCCAGCCCCTCAGGGAATGCCTTTGACAATGATAATCATACCATGTGTCTCCAATGCTGAAACTCTCCAGGAGCTTCCTACATCCTGTAAAACCAAGTCCCAGCTCCTTTCCGTGGTTCTACATCATGGAGCCATGGCCAACTTCTGAGACATGGTCTGCCAGTGCTCTCCGTCTCATTCTTCTTCCACCATACTTGCCTGGCTCTCCAACAGCACACTGATCTTTGCCTTGCCTCAGGATCTTCAGACTTGCTGTTTCTTTTTGGGTTTCTCTTACTCCAAGGTCTCTATTCAGGTAGCTGCTCAAATGTCAGCTCCACAGAAAGACCATCACCGGTTAATGGGTACCAGAGTGCAAATGGGAAGGAGGAGTAACTTCTAACATTCTCTAGCACATAACTGGTTGCCCAAGGTAACTATGACATCAAGATATAATAGATAAGTTCAAAATAGTACAGAGGATTTTGAATGTTCCCAAGATAAAGAAATGTTAAATTTGTGAGATGATAGATATGCTCATTACTCTCTGATCATTATTATACATGTGTGTGTCACACTCTGCATCATAAATATGTACAATTACATAAAATATGCCAATAAAATATTTTTAAAAACTATCCCTCGTCACCTTACTTAACATAGTTCTTTGCCAATTGTTCTCTCAATCCTCACTCTGTGACTGTGTCTTGCTCCCTGCTGAATGCCAGCTCCATGAATGACATATTATAGTTACTCAATAAATACGTACTGAATAAATGAATAGATGCATTTTATGGTGGAATAAGGATTCTGTTTCCCATTTTGAGCTTGGTACTTATGAAAGATTTGTAAAGCAGTGTACACTGTTGTGGTGCTCTTAGAAATGGAAATTATGGCAGCAAATGTGCAGAACGGATTGGAACTGGGAGAAAAGAGAGAGGCGGGGAAGTCAGTTAAAAGAATGTATAAGAGTGTTTAAGAAGCTCAACAGCAATACATTTATTGATCGTCGAGGGTGAAGGTGAAGACTATGACAACAGTGACTTGAAAAGTTCAAATGGAGAGATGTTTGCACCATAAATAAAAATACAATAATGAAAAGAGAAGGTTTTAGAGTAAAGGTGAAGAGTTGGTTTTGCAAATAATGGTTTTTAAAATGTCAGTACTACTCTGATGTAGAAAGTTTAGCAGGGATTTGAGAATAAGAGCTTGAGTCTTGAGAGAAAGATCAGATTTGGGGTTTGAAATCTGGCAAGGGGTGATTGTCAAAGCTTTGGGCACACAAGAGATTATACAGAGTGCCAAGAAGGGATCTAAAAACGCCACAGGAAACAGATGTTCAAGGGAGGAAGGGAAAGAAAAGACAGAAAATACTATTTTTAAAGAGCAGGAGAACTACTTTTAAAAGGGTTATATGAATGGAAACTCAATGGAGAAGAGAGAGAGACTTTTACAATGGATCGGGAGACCCCTGAAGCCACAGGCTGATGGGAAACTGGGAGAGGATTAGGAAAGGGGCACGGTGTGGATGGGCAGGCAGTGCTTTCCTCCTGCCATCTTACCTGGGAATTGGGTGGTTCATGCTTTGAGAAGCAGCAACGATAAAGGAGATACATAGACGCCTCAGTGCCAGGTCTTTCAAAAGCATTTCACTCAGCACCTTTCCACCCTTCACTCCTGAGCTTTTCCCTTTGTATTTTTGGTAGCCCCTTTTCTGCTGCTTCTCCTACTCTTTGCAGCCATTGAATATTGGATTCCTAAGGTTTGGCTCTAGGTCCTTAAAACAATTATTCTTCTCAAACCTTCATTTTTATTTCCTTCCTTTTCTCTCTTCCCAGGTGACTTTAAATGTTCTGATGGATTTAAATATGATTTCTGTGCTGAACAGATCAAGTTTATACTTTTAAGCTCGGCTGCTCTTCTGAGCTCTGAATTCACATGTCTGCAGTTGCTCTTTGCATTCGGATGTCACACAGTCATTTGGAACTAATGAGGCTCTTGCTTCTCCCAGCCTGTTGTCTTAATCAGGAGCACAACCGCCTATCCACTCGCCCACACCAGAGCCCTCAGCACCATACCAATTCCTTCTTTCTCTTGTTGGCCCACTAAGTTGAGCCCCAAGTCCTGCTCATTCTGTTTCTTTAAGATAGTGCAAATTCATTCCCCTCCCTGTTTTCACAGCTTCCCTGGAAGACCAGGATGCCACAGTAGTCTTTTAATTGCTTTCTCTACATTTCCTCTTGCCTCTAGTTCTCTATGCACCTGAAAGGGGTACCATTGTCTTATTCCTCTCTAAAAATCTTTCAATGGTTATCTATTGAATTCAGAATAAATTCTAAGTTCTCAGCTCCTAAACATGGCCCTGATGATCTGATTCCTGCCGGCCTCTCCAGCATCACCCATTGCTCTCTGCATTTTAACCACAGTAGGTTTCCAGCTCCTCCAACTAGCCAAGGTCTTCCTGCACCAGGGCCTTTGCACATGCTGTTCCTTCACTGGAAGTATTCTTTTCCCTTCTCTTCCCAGAGCTCCTTTTCATCCTTCAGATCTTATCCAAAATATCCTCCTTCATTAGCAAGGCCTTCTGTATGTGCCTCTGGTTCATGTTTCAGGTCCACATTTCTTGATGCTGCTTATCACAGGTGGCAGTATGCTGTGTTTTCCTCTGGGGAAGGTGGAACCATGGCCTGCTCTTTGTTATTACCCCAATATCTAGCATGATGCTTGCCACAAAGTAGAGAGAACTCAGTATTTAAGAAACAAATGAAGGCGCCTCTCCAGACAAATGCAGAGAGAGAAACTGGCCAGGAGCCCCCAGACCTCTGACTCGATGGGAGGATCCTGAGTGGCTGCAGAGGGTGAAACTGGGACTACGTGGTGGGGTGAGGTCTGCAGGGAGGCAGAGGAAATGGGATCCAGGGTGCAGTGGCGGGGCTCGGCCTGGGCAGGGTGAGGGGACCCTGTGGGGAGAGTCTGGGTGCAGGGAAGGTGAGGATGCCTTTGCCAATCCCTTCAGTCCCAGCACAGCAGAGGGGACTCCTTCGAGGGGAGCCGGACGACAAGGGTTGTTGCAGTGAGGGTGACAGAGGGCATCAGGACAGGTGC